AAACAAAATGAAAAGGAACCTCACAAAATAGCTCTGTGTGTTGATTTTGACTCAAACACACACGTAGGGGGCTTGGTGTACAAAGGATATTCTCTTTGAATAAACACATGTAACCGCACTCAAGGATTCATTAACAGTCTTCCCTTTCAGGTTTTAAGCACAGGAGAAAGATCTTAAGTGGAGAACAATGTAGTGGCCAACACAGGAAAGAGGCAAAGCATAGAACAATAACGGGGTCCAAAAGAGCAACAGTCTAAAAGGTGGAAAATGGCATCCTTAAAATCAGTACACCGTGCCCATACACGAGATTTTCTTGATAGTTTAGGAAGTTTGACTTGGTATTTAATAAAAAATAAATACAAATTACAAAAAAAGTGTAAGTTTCTGTGCATAATTCTGACTCTTGTAAAAAATCCTATGCTAACCTATTCATGTGAAGAATAGAATATTAACAGCAATGATTAGAACTGATGCTTTCTGGGCCAAGGAAACAGCAGGAAGGGGGAGGCACAAAAGGCCACACTACCTCAATGTCTCTTTGGGGCCAACTTCATGGTCTCCTGTCTACAAGCCGAAAGGTCAGTCACATCCATTCCTGTGAATGGTGCCTTGGAAGCAGGGTTAGAAAGGTCTTCTCTGAGACATTTACCACTAATAACCCACAGAAGTAGCCTGGGAACAGAGGCAAAGGCAAGTTCACCTGTGCTCCATCTACCCTAGTCCCACGACTAGACGTGGCAAGGTTCCTTGCTCTGTCCGATCAGTCTAGCTGGTCTCTGATGTACAGGGCAAAGATAAATATATTTCAATTTTCAAAGAACATGAAAGTTCATTCAGAACTTTGAATTTAAAAACCTACTTCAGTTTTTACTGTACTTAAGGTTTCTGAAGTAAGGGAAAATGATGTAAATTATTCATGTTCCTCTGTCTTATACCATTAAAGAACTTACAGGGAAAAAATATTCAAACACATAGCCAAGTAGAAACAATTATAACTCCCTTTATATGAAGATTTTTTAAGTAATAACACTTGTTTAATTATCCTAAAGTGATTTATAGATATGGTGGTAGTTTATGTTTTTTTTCCATGTTTATGTGTGTGTGGTGTGGTTGGTGTGTAGATATGCTCACATGTGTGGGTACGCTCTCACGTGTGCATGCACAGAGGTCCGAAGCTGACACCAGGTGTCTTCCTCTAGACCTTCCACTTTATTTACTGCTCACCACTTCCAGCTAGCCTAGCTGGCCAGCCTGACCCAAGGATCTCCTAGACAGTTTACTTCCATATGCCATTCTCAAAACTAAGGGCACTAACTCCTTAACAACAACTGGAGATATTTTCTTCTACTGACTTATTGTATCAGTGGGAAAACAAAACAAAACAATATCCTCACTGGATTTTGGATACAGCTGAAGAGAAAAGCAAAGAATACAGAACTCATAACAAACTTACCAGTTAGAATCAAGATAAATACCTACGTGTCTGTAAATGGCGGGCGTCACTCCTTGCCACAACTTTAGAAAGCCTTCCTCCTGGACAATTCCTAGGGCTGTGCGCACCATGCCCCTGTAAGGGGCAGATCCTGTTGCACCATCTCCCAACCTAGCAAGGGCAGCTTCTCCTTGCATCTGGAGTCGGGTTTTTGTGAGATCGAGGGGAAAGGTTGCTAATGAAATAAGAAAAAAACAAACGAAAGGGAGGAAAACCCAAAACATTCAGACAAACAAACAAAACCTCTAAAATCATAAGATTAATATTCTCCCATGGTTTGGAGATTCTGAAGTATGAGAATATAGTAGGATCAGCCAGGGAATCTGTGAAAGACACACACCTCCTATCCCACTCCCACACATCTATACTAGTAGATGGATGATTTAGAAAGTAGAGTCTCATGCCTTCTCAAATCTAAGACTTGCTGTTCTAGAGCATCCCCAGATTTTTTTTTTAAAAAAAGCAAAACCAAAATAATCCTACAGAAGTAGAACAACCCTCTCTCTCTTTTCAATAAAAACATTCACTATCAAACCTGCTTTGATTTTCCCAACGAGAAACAGCTTACAGTAGCCATATTCTGTTGTGTCTCCTTGAGCCCCAGCCACGATCATTTGAGACCTGATACAAATTTAGAATACACTTGAAGCTGAATTCTATAATTTCATGGGTGGTTCCCCTTGAGAACAGATCACAGAACTGATGTTTGAGAGGCAGAAGATGCAATGAAGTCAGAATGTCTTCATATACAAGGGTGGCAATGCTCAACACTCTTCAAACTGAGGTAAATATTTAGTTATATTTTTCTGAACTGATAAGTTTTACACATGGTCCATTCATGAGTTCTTTGTAAGTCCCAACTTTATTCATTGGAAAATTTGTTTACATGTTGAATTAGAAACAGTTTTTTTTTTTTATCCGAAAGCATATTTTAGCTACCCAACCCACATCAGGAAGATCAGACTTATAACATCACATACAATGTCCTGAATAATTCTAAGGGGGGTATTGAGAAGAGTTCATAAACATTGCTGATGGTATTTAAGATTTTTCAGTGAGCCGGGCGGTGGTGGCGCACGCCTTTAATCCCAGCACTCGGGAGGCAGAGCCAGGCGGATCTCTGTGAGTTCGAGGCCAGCCTGGACTACCAAGTGAGTTCCAGGAAAGGCGCAAAGCTACACAGAGAAACCCTGTCTTGAAAAACCAAAAAAAAAAAAAAAGATTTTTCAGTGACCACTACCTGGTCCAGAATCCATGAATACTTTTTCTAAGGGGTGTGTGTGTGTGTGTGTGTGTGTGTGTGTGTGTGTGTGTGTGTGAGAGAGAGAGAGAGAGAGAGAGAGAGAGAGAGAGAGAGAGAGAGAGAGAGAGAAGGGGTGTTACATATTCCCACTAGGTTTTGAAAAAGTTAGTATCTAGCCAATAATTTCCCTAAACAGATGTATCTTGCATATCCATACATTTAAAAGTGTTCTATCAACACATGAAGTTAAAAAAATAGGAAGAGGTAGGAGCATCTCTCTAAGAGTTTTGATTTTGTTTTGATTTTGGTTATTTCATATGTAGGTTCTCGTGCTGAACTGGGGTGCACTCCTCTTTACCACCGAACTTTGTTTCCCTAGCCTCTGCTCCCTAGTCTTCAGATAATTCTCTCCAGCACACGTCACAGGAGCATCCCTGTACAAGCCAATGAGCTTCAAAGAAGAATTCAGCTGTTAATGTAGCTAATCACTCAGCCACCCGATTTTAGATGTCTTTAAAAGCTGGTAAATTTTATTTCAGAAAGTGGATGATAAAAAAATGCTACACTAGCTTTGAGAGGAGAGAGACGAATAGATGGGCCAAAGAGCCAGAAGGAAAGAGTCTAAAGGCAAACAACAGATAGTGTGCTGGCTATACTAGGTATAAAGATAAATAAACCTCTGCTAGAACAAGACTGGGCAACATTTTCAAATGACTAATGCGCTAGAGACACCCCCTTTTTTTCTTTTTTTAAGGGACAAGAAAATGCAAGGGTAATCTGGAATAGCTTCACAGAGATCACAGTTTGTACCCCTCCCCACCAACAAATTACCATCTGCTCATGCCAAGGTACCATAATCCACTCTAGGTGGTCTGTTCATTTGTTGTTGTTGTTGTTGGTTTGTTTTTTTTTTTTTTTTGACTCACTTAGACATGAATCTGTTTTCTAGGATGTTCTTGTGACACACAAAAATAGCTTCTCTGGCCGGGCGGTGGTGGCGCACGCCTTTAATCCCAGCACTCGGGAGGCAGAGCCAGGCGGATCTCTGTGAGTTCGAGGCCAGCCTGGACTACCAAGTGAGTTCCAGGAAAGGCGCAAAGCTACACAGAGAAACCCTGTCTTGAAAAACCAAAAAAAAAAAAAAAAAAAAAAAAAAAAAAAAAAAAAAAAAAGCTTCTCTGTAACAGGCAGCAGTTGTAAATGTCTTTCTCTGGATGTGCCCCCACTGGCCTGGTAGAAGGCCACGCAGGGGTCTTTGAAACTGTAGAGCCAGGACCCACTACTGTATCGACTGCAACAATGCCCCAATTAATAGCCACCCTGCCTAGCATTTACCATTTTTATAAAAATTACTTCTCAGGGTCCCTCCTGTCAGGTAAACAAGATATAGGCTCAAGAAGTAATGTGGGCATCTGACTTTAGGCAGATGTTCAGGAGGGATGGTTAATAATTGAAATCTCCAAGGTGGCACACCCCGCCCCCCAAACTCAAAGATTCGGAGGCTGCATAAACCATGAAAAAGATGATCTCAGGGAGGATGAAAAATATGTGAACAAATGGACTATGATTCCAAAAAAAGGTCATCCTCACGAAAGGGGAAATGTTTCCTAGAGAGGTATAAGGGCTCATGAAGAGCCCAAGAGTACTCACTCAGGCATAGGATAACATCCCTGGGGATGGGAAGACAAGGACCCTGGACACCTCCAATCCATGCTCCTCCTGAAGCTGGCCTACTGGGCACCTGACCACATCCTTGCGAGGGCGCAACCTCTGAAGATGCTCCAGCCTGGAGCAGGGCTGCCCGCCCATCCCTCCCCCAGAGCGATGAGGCCACTCGCTGGGGAGGCCGAGGCAGGGGCGGCTGGTACCTAGCTCGGCCACGGTTGCGGCGCAGCCGGACAGTAGGAACTTGCTCGTCCGGGGCCATCTCTGCGTGAGCGGCAGCAGCGTCTCCTCCTCCTCGGGGACAGACATTCAGCAGCAGATCAGGACCACTGGGCACCCCGAGTCGCCTGTGCACCTGCCACCCTGCCGGCGCCGCCCCTTTTCAGCCCAAGAGCAGTAGGGGAGGGACCATGTGCACCAGTGAGGCACTGCAAAGCCTCCACCCGCTTAGGAGCTGGACCGGTCCGGGGGCCTCAGGTACCGAAAAACAAAGCGGGACCCAAGAGGCTTCTGGGAAATGTAGTTCTTGGGGGGGGGGCTCCGCGCCCTCTCTGATTGGCTGGCAGCTAGGCGCCCTCTGCAAATTGCCAGCTACTCCATAGCTACGGCTACAGCGCGTGTTCCCGCCCACCCTTCCCAACCCAGGCCAGTGTAGTTCAAATCATTGTGCGTTTTTTTTGTTGTTGTTTTGTTTTGCTTTGTTTTTTTTTCGTTTTTTTCTTTTTTGCCTACTGGCCAGCATTTGAAAGCAATGCGAAGGCGGAAGGGAACCACAATGCAAAAATTACACAAAAATCGGGGCGGGGCAAAGGAGCTACAGTTACGCAAGAGAATTAGTTGCCAAAGTTTCGGCTCAAAGTTTGGAAGACCCGGTGCGTTTTTCTCACTCGGCGGGGGAGGAGGAAATGCCCAGGGAGAAGGACATTTTTAAACGTCTGTGATTCTGCAAGATGGGCATCATGGAGTTATTCTCACCATTAGTCCTCGCCGTCCTGGGAAGCTGTGTTCTTTTCTTATTCTTTCGGTTGAAGAATTTGCGCGGACCCCCGTGCATCCAGGGCTGGATTCCCTGGTTCGGAGCCGGATTTGAGTTTGGGAAAGCCCCTCTTGAATTTATAGAAAAAGCAAGACTCAAGGTATGTAGCTGTGCCGGGGGTTGGGGGTCGGGGAGTAGGGTTGGAGGGAGGTAGTACTTTATTTTCAAATTATATTTTTATTAAGCGCAGTGTTAGAACGTTGGACGTAAGCATACTTCCGGCAATTAATCACATCTGTTGTTACTCTCCTCATGATCTTCAGCTGTGTCCTAAGCAAGGCATCAGGACATTAAATGAAAGGCAACGCAGCTTGTTGGAAGTAGAGATGTCTTTTAAGTGTTAGTGACTTCCTCGCATTAATTCAAAGTGCGTGTTATAAGCGTATAGTACTTGGGGAAGATAAGTTTCCATGACTTCAGTTTGTGAAAATGAGTCATAAATCTGTATCACAAATAGAGATTTTGTAAAACTTGTTTTGCTAAGTTATCTTTACAGATTCAAGGCTTGCCACTTTTCTTTCTTTCTTTTTTGACCCCCGGATGCCTTTATAAAAGTTTTTGTCCTTAAAGCAGCTCTTGAATGTTGCGCACTTTAAAGAAGACACTTTTGTTAGTCTTTTAATTCTCATTCATATTTTAGCCGCCAAGATCTTACTGTATTTGGTTGGTAAGATGGTTCGGTGGATGAAGTGCTTTCTACACAAGTAGGAGAGAGCCTGAGTTCAATCCCCAACGCCTGCATTTAAAGTGGGGGGCGGGGGAAGCAAACAAGTGGATGAGAGATGGCTTAGCTGTTAAGAGCAGATACTGCTCTTACAGAGGACCCAAGTTCTCTTCCCAGCACCCACGGTGTGGGTTGGATCACAATGGCCTACAACTCCAGCTTCAGAGGTCTGAAGCCTCTGCCCTCCAGAGGCGTTGGTGCACATGCACATACCCATATATAGAAACACACACACACACACACACACACACACACACACACACACACATACAGATAAAATGCATCTTTATAGTAATAATTAAAAAAAATAGCCAATGTGGCCAAATGCGCTGAGATTCCATTGGGGGAGAGGCAGAGACAGGAGCATCCTTGGAGCTCACTAATCAGCCAGTCTAGGCCAACCACCCATCTCCAGGTTCAATGAGAGAACTTGTCGCAGAAAATAAGGTGGAAGGCCAGCAGGATGGCTCAGTGGGTGAAGGTGCCTGCTACCAAGTCTGATATCTTGAGATAGATCTCCAGAACCCGTATGGCGGAAGGAGAGAGGCGGCTCCCTCCGGTCGTTCTCAGACCTCACACAGGTGTTGTGATAACGTGCGTGCCCATACTCATGTAAACACAATACAGGAATAATATTTCCTTATCATTAAGTATTTCTCTCAGTCTTTGTGTGTGTGTGTGTGTGTGCATTGCATAATGTGTGTGTTCACTCATGTGCAGGTGCTTTAGGCCATGCACGAAGGAGCGTATGGAGATCAAAGACTGACGGGGGGCGGGGGTGTCTTCCTAATGCACTTCTCCACTACATTTTGTTGGGAAAGGGTCTCTCACTGAATCTGGAGCTCATTCTTTCAGCTAGACTGGCTGGTCAGCAAGCCTCTGTGGTCTCTGTCTTTGCCTGCCTCTGTTCCCCAGTGCTGGGGAGGTAGAGATGTGAGCTTCTGTGCCTGGCTTTTATGTGGGTTCTGGGGATTCGAACTCTGGTCCTCATGTTGGCACAGCAGGCACGTTGTCCACCGAGCCGTTTCCAGTCTTTAATGGCTGCGTTTCATCAAATAAGGATAGAATATTTTACTTAAATCCCGAGAGTTGGGTTATATAGGTTGTCACCAACTGCTTTTCATTGTTTCAACCAATACCTCAATGGATATTCTAATATTTTTGCTTGTGAGCCTAGCCTTTAATGGTTGAGCCATCTTTCCAGCCCTCGATGGATATTCTTATTTGTGTGTATGTAGTTGTATATTTAAAGCTTATTTGACTATTTCCTCAGAATAAACTCCAAAATAAACTCCAATAGATTTGCCTGGGGGGGATTTACAATTAAATTGTGTATGATTGTATTGTGTTATTGTACTGCTTTGAAAAAGATGTAGCATACACTTTTTTTTTTTTTTTTTGAGACAGGGTTTCTCTGTGTAGTTTTGGTGCCTGTCCTGGATCTCACTCTGTAGACCAGGCTGGCTTCGAACTCACAGAGATCCACTTGCCTCTGCATCCCGAGTGCTGGGATTAAAGGCGTGCGCCCGTTGTAGTATACACTTTTAACCTTTGTTTTAGCATATAGATTTGCTTAACATATTAAATTCTGAGCCATACTGGGTGCCATAATTATGTGAAACTCTTACTAGTTGAATGCATGAAAGATGAAAAAGAATCTTTCCTAAAATAATATTTCTTTGTTTCCCACAGCCTTCCATGGTCATATGAGTTTAGTAATTTTTATGGAATGTTTCACAAAGTTGCCTCAGATCAAGTATGTGTGAGGGCTCTGTAGAGCCAACTATTATATAACACGACACAGGGTGTGTGTGTGGTCTTTCTCTCGTATTCAAAGACTATGGCTCCATTGTTCGATGTTTGAATCCTGGAAGCTGATTTTAAGAATTATTCTTATCATATGGTCAGGATGATAAAAAGTGCATTAGAGAAATTTAAACCATGCAAGCCCAAAGTCCCAAAGCAGGCATGCTCACCCCCTCCTTAACCCACTCCTTAACCAACACACACAAAAGGAAAACCAAACAAAACCAATGGCTTTTGCTTCTTTGTGTTATACAAGTTCTTACTGTTCACTAAGTTGCCTAGGCTGGCCTTGAACTTAAGTCCTCCTGCCTGAGTACTCAGCCTTCCGAGGACTGGGATTCAGGTGTGCACGGTATGCATTGCTCCCACTCAGCTTTCTCAGTCTACGTCCACATTAGTTGCTTTCTCAGAGCAGTCAAGAAAAGCTCCATCGCGGAAGTACTAAACCTTCTGCAGCCTCTTTGCATGCTTGTGTTGCTGTCTGTCTTCGCATTTGAATGAAATGTTGGAAGAGGATGTGATCTGCTTCTTCACAGTATCTGCAGCCAGTCTTAACATTTTGATAGATAGATTGCATTTATCTGGAAGCTGTATGGGAAACACATGGCTTGTTGGATCTTTAAGGAAGGACTTCCAGACATCCACGGTGAGCATCCCTCCAGCTCCAGCCTGTGAAGAAGACAGAGAAAACCGTCATGGCTGCAAACGTCTTCCCTGTAGTTTAATTTCATCTTTGGATGGAGTATGTGTTAATGTGGTTTAACATTTTAAAATATTAACTCTTGTGGGAGGGAGGCTTAGGCAATGGCTCAGGCAGAAAAGTGCCAGAGGGCAAGCAGGAGATCCTGGCACACACCTGTGATCCCAGGTGGAGGAAAGGGGTCCCTGGGGCCTGCTGGCCAGCCATCCTAGCCAGTCCCTGAGTTCCAGGTCCAGGGAGAGGCCCTGGCTCAAGAAATCAGACTAGAGCAACGGTGGGAAACGTCAGTGTTGACCTCTGACTTCTACGTACACACACCTCTACAAACATACACACAAACGTGTAGACACAACTATGTGTCTCTATTCCACTGAATTAGTGTTCCCAAGCTCTGTAACACTAGCTCCTTTCTCACCTGTCACTGGAAATGGAGTTTGCTGTGGTTGGCAGTGCAGGCCGAGGGTTCTGGGGGCCAGGGTGGGGTTTTACTCTGGTACGTCCCAGTTTTTCAAGTGAAAAAGAATTTCACCGTGATGCAGAGTGAAGCAAAGCTAGCGAGACAGTGATCTCTCAATCAGCAAATGAAGCAGAATAAATGATAACAAATAATAAAGCAGAGGAGATGAGACACACTTGAAGAGAGTCATGTGTGGGCTTAGGAAAGGAATAACTTAAGGCATCAGTAGTGGCTCTGTGTGTGACCTGGGGCTGTAAACGGACATGATCTGCAACGGAGTTGAGAGACAGGGCATGGTATTGCTGGTGCAATTTAGTTTCCTTATCCATAAAAGCATGACTTTGAAGAAGGAACTTTGAAGGTGCAATGTATAAGCTTCAAGGCAGAGAGGGAATATTAGAAATAAATCATTAATCACAGGTCAGAAGGAGGTCGGATTTAAGGTACAGCTCATTAGTCACATTAAACAATCCGGTTGGAGTGTTTCTCTGAACTTGGCGTTCATGTGTGAGTTCAGAAAGGTTGGCACACAATTACTGTGTGACTGCACACGTGCTGGAGATGCACGTGTGTGGTTAAACATACAATAACGCTTGTAATCACTCAAGCAAATATTTTGCTAAAAATATGACCAAATAGGTTCAATTCTTATTTGCTAACAACCCCAAAATGCTAATTAAAATATCAGAGATCCTAAGAGAGAGCTATGCAGTGGTCGTGGTAGTAGATTGGAAAAGTCCATATAGTATAGATGTCAGTGTCCAGATTGAAATCCAGGAGGAGTACTTTCAGATTCTCTGGAAGCCTTATTTTAGATTCTGTGACTGTTGTTATAGAACTTAGGTGGAAAGGCCAAGAGAATGGAGTCCCTAAAACATGTTTGGAAGAAAAATACCCAAGAGGGATTGTTTCACTCAATTTCGATGCTTATTAGTCATTAAGACTGTGGTTCTGACAGAGGCATAAACACCAAGATAGATGGACCAGAAGAGAGAGCTTGGTAAACCATCCACACAAGTGTGCTCAGCTGACTTGTGACAGAGACACAACAATAATTCAGTGGAGTAAAGATGCCTTTCTAAACGTTGGTGAAACAGTTCCATGCTCATGAGCCAGGAGGAAAAAAAACCCAGCACTTTACAAAACAAAATAAGGAACCTCAATCTAAGAATCACATCTTAGACAAAAAAGTAACTCAAGGTAGATCCCAGTCCTAACCAGAAACATGAACAACAAAAAGTTAAAAAAGAAGAGAATATCATCCTTGTGGGTCTAGGAAACACTTTTTTGATTGGTACTCAAAGTGAAGTCCATAAAAGGAAGAGAAGGTAAACTACTGTATGAAAATTGGGGACCTTTTCTCTGTGACAGAACCCCCAAGGAGGAAAAAGAGAAAAGATTCAGAACAGGATAAAGTACGTGCAAGGCCCATCCCCCACGGAGGACCAGTGTGTGGTGTGTATAAAGAACCATGGAGAGTCAAACGCAAAGTCCTGTCCAATTAGAAAGTGGATGTGACATCATGTCCATGATGAGGGTTTCCAGATGGCAAACACACAAAGTTAGTGACCGTCACAGCCGCTGGTAAAGATAAAATCAGCCTGAAGACGCCTAATGGTCCAGCTACTGTGGAAAACACATCAGCAGTTTATTAACGAAACACGCAGCTAATCGTGTAACTCAGCACTTCTATTTTTAGATATTTCTCCTGCAGAAATGGAAACTCAGGTTTCCACTGTAACCTGGCCATTGCTTTATCTATAATCCCTTTTTACAGTACCCTTGAAATAGGACCCCGAATGTCCTTTAGCAAATGCCCTTCCGTGTTGTGTGGAATTCTGCTCAGAAACGTATAGACATGAAGCCTCGACAACACCCAGAATCTAGCTAGATGTCTGTCTAGAGAATGGTAATAATGGGAAAATTCGCTCCCAAGGGTTTGTATGCAGTCGGACATTAAATTAAGAATAGGAGAACAAAGGAAAAACAAATAAAACCAAAGCCCACTGTTGGAGAGTTTGTGTCCCTACACTGAATTATCTTCACTACACAGAATACTACAGTGAGCTCTTTTCAACAGCGCCAGCCTGGGGCAGCAGTAATCTCAGTGGCTCAGTGTGTTTGAACTTGTCCTCTACTCGAAGCCGCTAACTAACCATGTTACAAGTCCCTAACTAACCTACTAGGAAGGCCACTTTCCTAGTAGAAAGTTAAGAATGTACATTTAAGCACAACCTTAACAATGAGAATGACCCGCTCTCTTAGAAGTACTAACTAGCAAACAATTGTCAGTAGGTAATATTGGGAGGCAGTGATGATGTCCGGGTCATGGGTGTGAGAAATGGTACTTCAGTTGGTTTTGTTGCTGTTATTTGTTTGGTTTTGGTGGTCAGTGATTCTTGAGCCTTCGGTTTGCCTAGTAGCACCTAATAGTCTTATCAAGAGTGTACCACGTGCCAGTCTCATGATTAGTGTAAGAATAGGTAGCACTGAATTAGAGATGAGTGTAAATGATGTCTTGAGATTCTTTTGAGACTCAAAATGGTATGAAGATGTGTGGCTCATTTTCATGATGTACAGTTTATTGCCAACATTCATAATGGATACTAGAGCATAATTAGGATGCTCTGAAAATGGCATCTGTTTGTTCCAATAAGGTCATAAACTCTTCTAGTTTCCATTCTGTTGCTGTGATAAACACCAGCCAACAGCGGTTTAGAGGAGGAATGGGCTTTTTTGGCTTATACTTCCAAATTATAGTTCACCATTGATTGAAGTCATGGCAGGAGCTCACAGGTAGAAACTATGGAGGGACACTGCTTGCACACTCATGTTCATCTTATACAGCTTAGGATCACCTGGCCAGGGAATGGTGCCACCCATAATGGTCTGGGACTTCCTACATGATAGAAAAATTAGTCAGCCTTCTCCCCCCAACATGGCCACAGACCATTATGGTCTAACCCTCCATTGAGACTCCCTATTCAGTTGACTCTAGGCTGAGTCAAGTCAACAGTTAAAGCTAATTAGGGCAGACTCCCAGAAGGCAAACCTCATGCTAGAAATTACGTGAGAGAGAAGGGAAAAAATCACTACTGTATCAGGAAGAATGTATGGTTTGTGAAGTCTGAGCTCTGATGCCAGAAGAAGAGGAGGAAGGTCACAGAAAGCAGGTGGATGAAGTGAAGGCTAGGAGTCCTAGACAGACACACATGCATTATGCAGCAGCAAACAGGCTGCGAGGCAGGCAGATGCTGCCAGACACCCAGGCAAATGCTAGCGCATGTAAATGTGTGATGGCTTATGCAGGCAGGCGCACACACATACCAGCACACAGGCTGCAAGTAGGTACACAGACCTATCTATACAGGGTCTGGCGAAGGCCATATTTATACAGACTCATACAAAGGTGACAATTTGCCAGAAGTGCTTATACAACAGACCATTTTATTGCTTGCTTTGGGGGTTGCTGGACCTCCAGTCAGTCAGTTTTTGCTGACTGATAGACGCCTTATATCTACCATTAGCCATCTTGGTGGAGGCCTGGTATCCATGTCAGCGCCAGAATGTCTAAACATAAACAGGCTCCTAAAGTCTTCTGTTCCCTTTAGCTTTGTATACTTCTCTTGAGCAGTAGTGAGCTGTATGTTCCTTATAAGTTTCTTGATATCTTGAATAAAAGGTTTCAAGATCACTATGGTAATACATATATTCTAATTGTTTATTATTTTCTAATAACCAAGAAAGGAAGATAGAATATGCATCTTATTGTATACATTTTAGGACAAAATGAATTAGGATTCATATAATTTAAATGTGACCCACAGAATTTCTAGCAACTACTAGATGTAACCGTATTTTCAAGTCTGGGCCATTACTTCATCATTGCTATTCTTCTTTTATTTTATTCTTGTGTGTGTGTGTGTGTGTGTGTGTGTGTGTTTGTTTGTGTGTGTCCACACATATGCATACAGGTGCACACATGTGTATAGGTGCCTGTGGAGGCCAGAAGAGGGCATCAGATCCTCTGGAGTTATATATGGATAGCTGTTGAACTGCCCAGTCTTGGTGCTTAAAGCTGAACTCAGGTCCTCTGCAAGGACAGTATACACTCTTTTTTTTTTTTTTTTTTTTGGTTTTTCGAGACAGGGTTTCTCTGTGTAGCTTTGCGCCTTTCCTGGAACTCACTTGGTAGTCCAGGCTGGCCTCGAACTCACAGAGATCCGCCTGCCTCTGCCTCCCGAGTGCTGGGATTAAAGGCGTGCGCCACCACCGCCCGGCTCAGTATACACTCTTAATCACTGAACCCTTGCTCCAATCTCAGCATTAGTATTGTGGAGGAAAATTGTGTTATACATAATCCATGATTTAGAAATGCTTACTAATACATCTGTGTTTTGTGTTTTATTCTAGTATGGACCAATATTTACCATCTTTGCTATGGGGAACCGAATGACCTTTGTTACCGAAGAAGAAGGAATCGATGTGTTTCTAAAATCTAAACATGTAGATTTTGAACTAGCTGTGCAAAATCCTGTCTATCACACCGGTAACCAATATTTTTAGGTAGTTCCTTTGAAGTATAACATTGAAACCCAAGAGTTATTTTGAGTAAAATTACATCCTCAGTCCTCTATCAAGAATAGTGAAAGGCAATTATTTTGTTATTAAAGTAGGGTTAGAATGAAGATAAAAAAATTATATGTAATAGACTGGGTCACTGAAAAGGAAATTATTGGCATTTAGGTTTCACTTAGACATGTGAGTGAGATAGGCTCCCATCACTGATGCATTTTGGGGATTATTTGGAATCTCTAGTGTGTTACAGCATCTAGGTATTATTAACTACAGCCTTCTACTGTGATTACAATGTTCTACCAGCTACAGCTCTTGGCTTGATTATACTCTGCTTGCCCAGAGTAGTGCCCTGCTTAATAAGCAAGCCATTAATATGGCCTCTCCTGAGAGTGCCCATAGGGGCAGTAAGGCTAGCTGGGCTGATGTCTCCTTTCTTACAGTCTCCATCTGTCTTAGCCTGCTTGCTATTACTGGAGAATGTGCTTCTCGTGTGGCTGTGTCTCCCTTTCTCCCTAGGTCCTGAGCCCAGACCATGCATCTTCCCCAGAATGCCTGCCCTGGCTTCTTCTCGCCTAAGGCATCCATCCTTCTTCTTCCCCCTGGCCCCCTTCCTTTCCTTCTCAGAGTCCTTTAATGTACGCTGTCATACATTTCTTAGTATTAAGACAAAAATCTTTGAAAACCTCTCAGTGGTTAAAAGTTTAGCTACTTTTCTATTGAAAGACCACAGTATATTAGCTAAATTCACTGCTCTCTAGTGTTTGTTGATATATAAGCTATGGAGTTTCTGATCGATAAATATAAATATTTTGAAGGCTCTTCTATATGCTAACATATTTCTTCAGTAAAAGAACTAACTTATCTGCTAGAGGCATATGGATATTATCGAAATGTTCACCTGAGGCTCCCCAGTGACCTTTCATATTCATTTCTATGGATCAGATAAAATCTGTTGACATTTACTCTTCAGCCAGCCTCTTATCCCTGTCAAACAGTCCACTACCATGCTTAGGAGATCCAAGTTTAATTTAAATTAATTTATACAAAATACAACCCGAACATAGCAGAATCATAAAATATAAATTATTTTTTAAAAAGATTCTTTAAAGACTTTTAAAAGATACTTTTATTTGGTTAATCAAACTAGATAAACCAGATTAAAATTTTTTTTGGAAAGTAGTCTAAAAAAACCAAAACTCTTGACCCTACCCCGACCTAACCTGAAGCTAGTATTGTAGAAGGAAGAGGACTGCTTCTATAAAGAAGTATTCTATAGTGGGATCAGAGTTATTCTGCTGAAGAAATTTGAGGGATATTGGTATGTATGTAGAAATGGGGGTTTAGGTGGGAGAGTAGTGAGTATAGAAAGTGTAAATAATAGCTTTCAGAATGCTAAGAATTTCAGGATATTATGCATTTTCAATATGCCTTGACCATAGATCTGGAGGAAGATGGGGCTAGAAATAGCAGCCCTCTCATTCCTTTATAAGTCATCTTGCAAAACAGATCTACTGATTCTGTGTGCTGTGGGGACTTGGCCAATAGTCCCCACTGGCCAATTTGTAGCAGAGGCATATAGATTACATGCTGCAAGGGATTGCTGCTTCTCGTTGTTGTTTTGAAAATAGTTCCCTCTGTCCTTAGCACGGATTCCAAAGAATGTCTTTTTAACACTGCATGAAAGACTGTATGTCTTGATGAAGGGGAAGATGGGTACTTTCAGCATACATCAGTTTATTGGGCAGCTGACTGAGGAAATTCATGAGCAACTGGAAGATTTAGGCACTCATGGGACAATGGACTTGGACAACTTTGTAAGGTAAATAGTAGTTGTTTTCATCTTCAAATAAAAACTTTAAACTAATACATTGGATTTCAAAATTCACCGGCTGGATTAATGTTCTCTAACTAAGCTACTATGAGATTTTAAAAAAGTCATTTAAATTCTAATTAATAGGCACTTTCTAGATTAGCATTTTCACTTTATGGTGAGCAAATAAACCAACAATCATTTGACACATGAATAGTCATAAAGTCTTCTCGTGAAAAACTGAATTACCAAAGCATTTTCTCACCCCCCTGGAATCCCAGGATTACAAAGGTGGAGAGTGACCTGGAAGTGGAATGAGGCTGTACACTCTCAAAGCTCCACCCCACAGTGATGTACTTCCTCCAGCAAGACTCCGCCTCCTAAACATCCCATAACCTTCCCAAATAGTGCCACCAGCTGAGACCAAGGGTTCAAATACAGAAGCCTGAAGGGGACTTTCTCATTTCATTCATGCCACAACAATAACATCAACAGATATTTCAATAGCAATAGTTTAAAATGCAGACTTTTGTGAGCAATTAAGAAATGAGTGATTACTATTACCCCCTTCAATTCCTAGTGTATTTGCCACTACATTCAGAGACACGAGTGGTAGCCTACTTCTTACTATTTTCTAAATAAATTCCTATTGAATGTCATTCCTTCAGCTTATTTCTGTTTATTGTTTTGCATTTGTCTGGGTCTAAGATGTGTGGTGATATTTTATTTGTGCTGAAATGTGGTGATATTTTATTTGTGCTTTGATAAATAAAACTTGCCTGGAGATCAGGGGGAAAAGGCCATTCATTTTAAGTAAACAAAGTCAGGCAGCACACGCCCTTAATCTGATCACTTATCAGGCAGTGTCTATGTGTGTTCAAGGCCATACTAGGGAACAGAGCCAAGTGTGGTGAGACATGCTTTTCATCCCAGTACCAACCATAGAGACCTGGATGTCTGTACAGACAGACAGTGACAAGGAAGTGAGGTAGCTGGGCTAAGAGCCAATGAGAGGACAGAAAAGCAAGGCATATAAAGGTGTAGGTAGACAGGAAGTAGCTCGCTTTTGGAAGCTGCAGAGTTGGTGAGGTAAGGTTGGCTGGTGGCTTTTCCTATTTCCCTGATCTCTAAGTGTTTCACCCCTATATTTGGCTCTGTGTTTTTTATTTAATAAGACCACTTAGAAATTCATCTACAAAGATGCTTCCTTAGAATGGATTTTTAGATCTTCATGGCTGAAGAGAGGACTCGGCAGTTAAGAGCACACATGCTCTTCCAATGGACCCGAGTTTGGTTCCCAGCACATATATTGCACCACTCACAGTTGCCTATAGCCTCAGGGCTAGGGAGATCTGACTTACCTGATCTTCCGAGGAACCTCTGTTCATGTGCACACATCCATACAGAGACACATGCACACACACATGATTAGAAACAAGGTGTTGGTTGGTTGGTTGGTTGGTTGGTTGGTTGGTTTTTAAGAAAGAGTTTTTAAATCTTCAGATAAACATAGTCATGTTTCAGTCATCCTCGAATGACAGCTTGACTTCCAGCAGCAAATGTTAAAACTTGTTAAGAATGACTGTCCTCTAAAGCTGTGCCACATTATCCATTGCTCATTTGCCATATTAGGATAATTCCATCTTTGTCTCTAAAACTTTCATTGGCTGCTCGGTTGACTTCCTGAGTGTCCCTGTCTTCACAGGCATCTTCTTTATCCAGCCACGGTCAATACTCTCTTTAAGAAAGGGCTGTTTCTCACAGACAAGAGGAAAACCAAGGAGTTCTACCAGCATTTTAAAACTTACGATGACAGTTTTGAGTATGGATCCCAGCTGCCGGAATGGCTCCTGAAGTAAGGTGGCCTTCTGCAATTGGTTTTTTGATCATATTTCTTTTCAGCAACATGTATCTATAATCTACCTAATCTCCATCTTGCTCTCTCTTTAATATGTGGATGCACACGTGTGCCCTGTATGAGTGTGGAGGCCAGAGGATGACATCAGGTGTCTTGCTTTTATCGTTCTTCATTGTAGGTTTTGAGACAAGGCTGATCACCAAGCCTAGAGCTCACCGTTTTGCCTAGAGTGGCTGATCATCGAGCCCCCAGCATTCCCCATCTCTGCATGGGATTGCAAGTGCATGCTGCCATGCTGGCTTTCATGTGGGTGCTGGTGATCTGAACTCACGCCTGCACAATAAGCGTTTTACCTTCTCAACCACCTTCCTAGCTCTCATTTCTCCTATTTATTATTTGACGCTTTATTTTTATTTCATGTGAGTATATGTATGTAGGGTGTAGTGCACTTGCCATAGTGAATGTGGGGAGTAGGCCAGAGGAAAACTTTGGGTTTGGGTACTCGCTTCCCACCTTGTTTTAGACAGGATCTAAAACATCTCAGCATAATTCAGGTTGGTTGGCCAAGCTTCAAGGGGTTCTATTGTCTCCATCTCCCATCTCCCTGTGAGAATGAAGGGATTACCCATGAATGCTACCATGACCAGCTTTTAGTAGGTTCTGGAGAATCAGACTCCTCTGGTCTTCAATGCTGTGTGGAAGTGCTTTATCCATTCAGTCATGTTTCCGGCCACATTTCTTCCTCTTCAGTAGAATCACATCGGTTGTTGTGGAAGGCAGCTGTTTCTGTGACTTTTTTTTTTTTAATGGTGGTGGGAGAGGGTGTGGTGCTCTCACTGTGTAGCCCAAGCTGGCCCTGGAAGTCATGGCCTCCGGCTCCAGGATGCTGGCGTTGCAGGAGTGCACCATCACACCAGGCTCTGTGACCTGCTTGTTGTGGTGTGCACGTGTGAAGTGAAGGAGGACCAAAAAGAGATGTACTTCTTCCTCCGTCCTTCTCTCTGTTCTTTCCTTCCCGCCTTCATCCCCATCTTCCCGTCCCTTCCTTCCTGAAAAACAGTGTGTGTGTGTGTGGGGGGGGGGGGGGGGTGGAGGGAGGGAGGGAGGGAGGGAGGGAGAGAGGTGGGAGGAGAAGATGAGAAGGTGGCATGGAGAATGTATCTGATGCTCTTCTCAAGTACAGTGTGTCACTGTTGAGTTGATTCTGTTTGAATCCATGCTGAATCAGCCCGCGCCTCCGTAAGACATAAGGAGGCGTCATCAAATGCTTTTGTCATCATTGGCTCCACTAAACATTTGTAAAATGCAGTGAAAAGTAACTGCATTTTAAAAAGTTCTTGGCAATTGCTCCATGTTTTATCCTACTTGGACAGTCATAGGTGGCATGGATGGGTGACTTATAAACAATAAATATTTATTTCCCATAGTTTGGAGGCTGTGACATCCAAGACGAGGGTACCAGCAGGATGGTTTCTGAGGAGGACTTCCTTCTGGGGGCAGACTGTCGACTTCTGACTGTGCCTTCAGAGTGGAAGGGGCAAATCAAGTGCTTTCCAGTGTTTTATAGACACTAGTCCCACTGATAAAGAGTTCACTCTTGTAGTGGGGAGCTGTTGTAACGGTGACCTTGAAGCACTGCCCCTAGTGAGGTAGCAGGTAACTGTTGCACCTGCCTGTGACCTTGAAGTACATGCCCCCAGGGCGTGGGCACTTGGGACCCCTAAGACCTGGGATGCACTTACTCAACTCTCTCTTCACCTCCTCATAGTTCTGGATGCTGAGATCTCGGACCAGGCAAATCAGCATGAGACATAGCTCAGCTTTCCCGAACCCTACGATAAATCTCCCATGGTTTTGAGTTAACCCCCAAATAAATTCCTTTGCTTGTTAAACAGACTCCGTAGATTTCTCGAATCACTCTTTATCTTGCAACATTGTCTTTAACTCCCTGCTCCTAATACAGTCACCTCCAAGTTGAGAATTTCAGGACTTGATTTTGCAGGGGACCCAGATCATTAGCAGTGGATGGTGGGAATGGTCAGACGAGAATAAAATGGTGACAACCGATGGGCTTTGCTTAGCTACGTCAGCCTCTGGCCTCTGTGCTGGACTTTCACCTGTCACTCTTAGGACAGGCACAGTGAACGGGAACCAAGCAATTGACCCACCATTTTCTCCTTCAGTGGCGGACAGCCCGACAGGAATCCCAACAGCTATTTACAAAGGCACTGAAATGTGTTCTCTTGCCCCCAGTTTTACCTGTGAACTAATAATTCAGAAGTGGACCTCTTTGGAAATTCTAACTGGAAACAGATGAATTTGAGGAAATTATTCTATTTTCAGAAGCATTTTTCCTTTTTTAAAATATAATTTACTTATTTTTTTTTTTATTTTCGGTACGTTGGTGTTTTGCCTGCCTGCATGTCTCTGTGAGGGAGTTTGATCCCCTGGAACTGGAGTTACAGACAGGTGTGAGCAGCCATGTGGGTGCTGGGAATTGAACCTGGGTCCTCTGAAAGAGCATCCAGTGCCCTTAACCACTGAGCCATCTCTCCAGCTCCAACATTCGCTCCTTTTATGTCATAACCTGTCACCCTAAACACCCTTGCAAATCACTAATTATATGGGTTTTTGGTTGTTTTAATGCAGAAACTGGTCAAAGTCCAAAAGATGGCTCCTGGCGCTGTTTGAGAAAAATATTGAGGAAATGAAAGCTCAGGAATCTGCAGGTCATTCTGGGGTGAGTGTCCTCCTCATTCACTAAGATCTATGTAATGAATGTGAGACTAAACAGAGACTATACAAAACATTTTTTTAGCTAGGAAATGCGTGTGATTGGATATAATTTTTGTACCATGTGATACACTGGGCATGCTTCTATACATTATTTTAATATCATAGCCTCATAGCACCAAGGCATTCTAATCTATAGGATTACAAAAATGAATGCTACAATAAAATTAAATTAAACTCTTAGGTTTTTTTTTTCCTCACAAAGTTGTCTATGTCAAAGGACAGAATTACAATTTAAAGGTCTTTGTTGCTTACGGCATAATTCTCAAATTAGGCAACTTCCCATTCTGTACAACAGATGAAATGTTTTCATAGGCTAAGCAGAACTGGTTTTATAGAAAAAGGCTAGAGCAGGGTTCTCAGCCTGTGGGTCACAACCATTGGAGAGCACATATTTCTGTTGGTTTTAGGAACCCCAACCATAAATTTATTCTCTTTGCTACTTTATAACTCTAATTTTACTACAGAAAATGAAATCCATAGTTAAAACGATCAGTTCTGCTCTCCCATCATTATGGACGTGATAGATAAGGATGGACCAGCTAATTGTCAGAAGGCGGTTGCTATGCGCCAGTCATGGTTACCCATTGCACGAAGTCATTTCTTGTTTTGTATGACAACTTTAATGCCAAGAAGACGATTGATTGGCAGGGCTAATCAATCTGGAAAACTTGCATGCTTCATTAACAGCGAGTGACACCAACAACTCCGTTTTCATCCTGCTGATGTGTGCATTTCCTTCCCACTAACTTCTTTGTTGTGCTAGTTTCCTCGTGTGAATACTGAATGTGGATAATAGTAGCTGCTTCTTGGAACCATGCTAATATACAAATGAGCCAAACACCCGGAAAGACCTTAAAACTGCGCTGGCCCCAGGCAAGCAGAGGATCGATCATAGCATCCACATTGTTTTCCTATCATGGTACTGAGTTAAGATGTAAAGCACATCCATGGCCTGAGTGTCTGCCCTCTGGTGGAGAAGCAACCATGGGCAAAAGCAAACTGGAGAAATCCCTGCATGAAGTCAGTTTTAGTATTTCCGTGGTCACCTGGGGAACAATCAGAGTGGGTTGTTTTGCTCTGAGTTGGCGCCTTTTAAGTCAGAACATCTGTTGGTTTATCCAGGAGCTTGACCTGAGCTCCTCGTATATGCTAGGCCAGCCCTCTACTTCGGGGGCAGATCTCTAGTTCTCCTTTTTACTTTTTATTTTGAGGAAGAATTTCACGAAGTCTCCAGATAGGGTCTTGAACTCACTTTGGAGCCCAAGCATACTTTGAACTTGGAATTCTCCTGCCCCAACCTTCCAAGTTGCGTGATTACAGCCCTGTACCACCAGGCCCAGCTACTTAATTTTCTTGTGAGCAGAGGTTTGCTTGTGTTAAAAGGTTAGCGTTTGGGTTGGGCATGTAGCTCAGCTAGTAGAATGCTTCCCTAGTACACAGGAGGACCTGATTTCAATCTCTAACATTGCATAATAATAATGGTAACAGCTGGGTGTGGTGGTGCATGCCTTTAATCCTCTGTGAGCTCAAGGCCAGCCTCAGCTACATAGTGAGTTCCAGGTCAGTGAGACCTACATAGTGAAACTCTGTCTCAAAAATCAAACACGATATTTATGAAAATACAAACATCACAAGTAACCAAGCAATCCCCAGCAAAAAAACAAAAAAAAAAAAACCAAAAAAACATCAAAAAAAAAAAAAAAAACCAAGCAAAACAAAACAAAAACAAAAAAACACCAAAAAACAACCAAAACCAAAACAACGTTTTTGGGTCTGGGTGTGGCTCAGTTAGAAGAGTGCTGGCCTAGCATGCACAACACCCCAGGTTCATCTCCAGTACTGACTAAAGCAGGTGTGGCGGTACAGTCGTGTAATCTCAGCACTAAGGAAGGAGAGGTGGGAGAAGCAGGAACTCAAGGTCATCTTCAGCTATGGAGAAAGTTGACTGTTTCAAGTATTTTAGCAGCAACTGTACTAATATTTACTTCCCAAAATTTTATGGGGTAGGTACCACATCAAGGCCCTCTTATAGATGAGGAAATTCAACTGCTGGAATAGTCTAGTGATTTATGCAGGATCATTCAGTTCCCTAACAGTGAAGCCACAGGGCCGAAATTCAGCTCTGCTCCCCTGGGGTTCCTGTTTCCCATTTCCATACTACCACCCAGGGCACAAGTGCCTGAGTAGGTGCCTTAGACTGCACTCCTGTGAGCATCAGACACAGTGTCTCTTGGACTAAAGATGAATGAATGGTTCCAGGGTCATGGGTCAGTCTAAGCCAAGTGCCCAATGAGCAAGCATGGGGTTCTGAGTTTCAGACCCCCCAGACCCCACACAAAAATCTGGGTGTAGTGACACGTGTCTGTAACCCCAGCTCTGTGCCGACGGAGGGGTAGGTGGATTCTTCAAGCCCATTGGCTAGCCCAGCTGGCTGAACTGAGGAGTTTCAGGCTCAGTAAGAGACTCTGTCTCAAAAATAAAGGTGGAGCATGGCAGAGGAAGGACACCCAGTGCCAGCCTCTGGTCTCCTGTGCGTGCGCGTGCCCACACATCCACACCAATAAGTACATAGAGCACACACAGAGGGAAAAACAATAGAACGGCTTCTTGTTTATGGACATCGGTCCTCGTCACACAGCTGCGGTCTAACAGTAGTCATTTCCTTCACACAGACCCTCATGCAGGCCATACTGGATATTCTGGAACTGGAATCATCTCAACACAGTCCTAACTATGGGCTCCTGGTACTTTGGGCTTCCCTGGCCAATGCTCCTCCTGTGAGTACGAGGGGAACGACCGACGGACGGGCTGCTCACTTCCATCCGCTTGACTTTCGTTTGTTCTTTGGCATTATTTTCTCTTTCTCTTCAGTTCTTCACTTACTTTGGGGAACAAAAAGATATCAGTGCACTGGGATGGAGGATGAAAGGCAAACGTGACTGCTTGACAGAATCCGACTAGGAAGCTCAGTCGGTGAGGTGCTGGCCTCACAAGCTGCAGGACCCGAGTTCATAAATGCTGGTGGGTGTGGCCGGCTGCCTGAAATCCCACTGCTGGAGAGGTGGAGACCAGGGATCTGTGTGGGGCAAGCTGGCCGGCTCATCTAGCCTGATCAATGAGCTCTCGGTTCAGTGAGAGCCCCTGTCTCAGTGAAGAATGCAAAGAGTGACCAAGGAAGGTAGCCAGCATCAATCCCTAGCACACGCGCGTGCACGCGCACACACACACACACACACACACCACTCACATTTACATATCAAATCCCCCACCTCCCTGAAAATCCCACCCGAGCATGCTAAGGAGGCAAAGCCTAGATCCAGAGAGAATTCTGCCCCCTGACATGCTTGCCCTTTGGGCTCCCTGTGTACCGTTTAAGGGGCTCTGACTCTGTCAGGCTGAATGCTCTGTATGCTGCACACTTGAACAAAGCCTAGCCCAGCTTTGAACCAGGCTGAGAGAATGGCAACGGATGGTTTCAGATGGAGTTGCTCATCTCTAGCCACAGTGGTGGTCACTTAAAATCTCTGTGCCCCCATTTCCTTTGCAGGAAGTCAGGGAGGGGGGAAGGGAGAGAGAGAATATGAATATGAGCATAAAAACTTCTGACAGTGACCCTGGCAGCAATCCCAGGGGTTGCTCATTTCCCTACAAGTCTCTCTGAGATCCAACAAGATGCTCTAGTCATGTCCAGTGAATGTGAGCTCCCCCTCTCCTCCAGGGTACCAATGCATCTGTATTTCTTGGTCCCTTGGTTCTACAAGCTTCTCAGTGAATGGGGCTTGTGACACTGAAATTCACTGCACATCTAAGGACAGCAGGGACCTTTAAAACCCATTGATTTTTATGTACTTGTTTTAATTGATTGATTTAGTTTTCTGTTTGTTTGTTTTGAGGCCGTCTTGCTATGTAGCCTCAGGCTGCCCTTGAACTTGCAATTTCAGGTGCTGAGATTAGAGACATGAAGCACAGTGTTGGGCAACTGTTTCCTATTATATTTTTCTTTTACTAGGTGAACAAAATACTGGGTTTCCGCCGGGCGGTGGTGGCGCACGCCTTTAATCCCAGCACTTGGGAGGCAGAGGCAGGCGGATCTCTGTGAGTTCGAGGCCAGCCTGGTCTCCAAAGCAAGTTCCAGGAAAGGCGCAAAGCTACACAGGGAAACCCTGTCTCGAAAAAACCAAAAAAAAAAAAAAAAACAAAAAAAACAAAATACTGGGTTTCCATAGGACATATTTATCCATGTAGATCATTGAACTTGGCTCATGGCCATCCTCATTACCTCTTGCCCCCTTTCCCACCCATTCCCTTCCTTCTTCCCAAATCGTCCCCCATCTGCTTCCAGGTGTATGTGTGTGTGTGTGTGTGTGTGTGTGTGTGTGTGTGTGTGTGTGTGTGTGTGTGTGTGTTCCTTTAAAGCTACTGTGAACTAGGTGAAAGCCAGGAGATCTGTCTGCGATTCTCTGTTTAGCCCGCCCTGACTCCCTAGTCAGCACACTGTCTGGTTGACCCAAGCTCTTCCTTACGTTGGCTGCAGTGGAAGGACGGCTGTCTGTCTGTCTATCTGTGCTTGATGAAACAGGGACACTCAGCTCGTCTCTGGCAAGTGTAGTCATTTTTTTTCTTTTTCTCTAACCACTAGAAATAAATATTACACATTTCTCTTTCCTGTTTCTGAAGGCCTAGGTAGCTAGATGATTTTTAGGCCCCAATAACTTTACTTCTTTTAACCTGTTGCAAGTAACAGAGACAGATATTCTGGCCTTTCTGCTCAAACATGTAGCACCCAGAAGAATATATAGTTCAGCAGTGGCAGTCAAGTGGAGAGCCCCATGCCTCCCCCTGCTCTGTCCGCTCTCCTGTTCCTCTCTGACTCTTCTCAACTAGTTGATCGAACTACAGCAACACCGAAGAGCAACCTCCAAACATGCACACAACAGCCACAGTCAGGGCGTTAGTTCTCAGGACCTTTCCAGAAAGGTCCCCTGAAGAAAGCCACACAAAGCGCTATTGATCGGACACAGAGGTCAGTTCTTTGTGATTGGGCCTGGCACTGGTCTGAAAGGATGTGTCTGATGATGACCGAAAGTTTCATCTTGCTGGATCTTCCTTGTTGGCACCTCCACAGGGCAGGGTGAGCAGAGACCTTGGAAAGGCCTTCTCATCAGATCTGAAGCCAGTTCCCATAGCTGGGCAACAGAGGGCTTGCTATTCCTTTAACCTCTCCCAGCCTGCATCCATGTCCTCATCTGAACTGTCTCCAAGGATGGTTGGGAGGATTTAACTGGAAGTAATGAAAAGTGCTTAACAACATTGGTGCTCAATAAATAATGTGTGTGCCATACATAAAAACACCACCCTTGTTGAAATCAATGGCTTCTTTCAATGGCCCATTAATAATGAGTGTAGACTGCCATGGGTCCCAAATGCTTGACCCCTTAATGGCCAGGATGGGCATGGCCCTACTGTTTTGGCTTTTAGGATCACCCATTGCTAAAGGAACCCTAAGAACTGTAAGTAATGGGTGGGTTGTTCAGGCCTAGATGGGGTCAGTGCTTCTCTGCTCCCTTGCAGCCTACAGGACCCAGAGCCTGTGCTCTAGATGGGATTGTTACCTGCTCACCAGGAGGCTCTGTTTTGGCCCAGGTATGCTTTGACAGACCATCGCAAGATTTTGACCATAATTCACGGGATTGTGTTGATGGAAAAACCATTTCCTAGTTCTAAGAAGTTCCTGACTGACAAAAGAACTTTCTAGAACATTTCTCAGCTGTATCAAAGTTGACTTTCGCCATTTTTATCTGCTGCTTCTCTGAGGTGGTAACTATGCTCAGCGGCCATCGTAGCCCCATTCTGCTCAGTTATTGTGTGGCCTTGCACAGTGACCTCTGCTCCCCTCCCCAGTTGCATGTATTTCACATCTCTAACTAACCGTGAAGTTCTTTGGTCAGAAACTGCTTTATATGTATTTGTGTTTGCCATGATTGACAGAAGATTATCTGGAATGTTATAGAGATTTGTTCTTTCTTGTTTCAAAAAATGCTCAATGATAGCCATCACTTTGAGCTCTAAATGAGTATATTTCTTAAGTATACAACAAGCCAAAGTAAAAGGATAAATAGCAAGTGATGGTTGGATGGATGGATGGATCCCAAATGGATACATAGAAAGACATCATCAAATCAGGCACTCTAAACATCCAGCAGAAATCAGCTGGGAAGACATTTGAAGACATCCAGTTCTGGATCTCCATGGAGAGAGTCTCAACCAGAGCAGTGTCCTCTCTGGTGAGAGTCCCAAGTGGAAGAACAGGCAGCAATATAGAGAGATGGCATCAACAAATCAGGTGCTCAGAGCGTCCATCGGAAACCAGCTGGGGAAACGGAGGCAGCCGGACTTCCCAGTTAACCTTGCTCTCCAGGGGTGAGCTTGCCATGGCGATGCTTCCGGCTTCTCCTTCCCACTCTGCAACTTTTACAGCATGGCTGAACAGTGATAGCATCTGGTGGAAATGGCCTGCCCTCCTTCTGTTCTCCAGGGCACAGTGCTGTCTTGAGCTAACTTGTCTGTTGTCTTTCTTCTCTGTCCCAGAGTGGGGCGGGTCCCATTTCTCACACCAGAGGAGGCTGGCACACTCTTGACATTAACACACTAGGGTCTGAAGTGGGGGGACCAACCCCACTTCCAATGCTAGCTACTCAGTGACTTACACAGCACATGGCCATTAACTTACATACGGCACTTCCTGGACTCCATCAGCATCCACCACATCTCCTCTTGGAGGCTGGTGAAGGATCCAGCCAGCCTCAGAGCCTCCTTCCTCATCTCTTCTCACTTCCTTCTTAGCTCTCCTCCAAGTGGCTTGTTGTAGCTGCCCTGCAGTTTAGTGGCCAGGTGGATCTTTTTTTGCACTCTGAGCATGGATTGACCCTTTGGCATAATATTGATTGTTACTCCATTGGGCAGCACTTTTGAAATCCTTTACCAAATGTGTCAGTGACCTTAGGGCCGGCCACCTTTGCTTTTTGATTCAGTATTGCATGGAAATATTCTATTAACTCTTTAATACCTTTTCCTATTTTTATGTTTTTGTTTATTGAGACAGGGTCCCACACTAGCCTTGAACTCATAATCCTCTTGCTTCAGTTTTTCGAGTACAGTCCAGGATTATGGGCATGTGCCAGACTGCCTAGCCCTTTCCTTAGTTTTAAGAAGTAAAGAAATCACTTCTTGTCCTTTTGGCTAGGGTGAAGTGTGCTATCTGTTCTTATCAGTGTAATATCACACACATCCTCCATCTCAGGACAGGATAGTAAAAACGGACGTTTGGAGCTGGGAGACGGAATGAGAGTTTGCACTGTCCACCCACTGCATGCAGCCATCTGCCATTGCGGCACTTCCAGCAATGGTGCACCCCACTTGGGGAAGTATCTAAAAGAAGTACTCCCTTTCCCCTAACTATTACAGGGGGAGGCAAGGTCTCATGTAATCATATAGCCCAGGTTGGCCTCACGCTGTCTGTGTCAGGGGGGATGGCCTTGAACTCCTTATCCTCTTATACATCCCAGGTGCTGGGATCACTGTCCTGTACCTTCACACCAAAAGTTCATTGTTTTGTTTTGATTCATTTTATTTTATGTATGAGTATTTTACCCGCACATGTGCCTGTGGAGGTCAGAAGACAGCAGATCCCCTGGAACTGGAGTTCTGGGTGGTTGTGAGCTGCTGCATGGGTGCTGGGAACCGAACCCAGGGCCTCTGCAAGAGTAGCAAGTGCTGTTAACCGCTAAACCATCTCACCAACTCTCAAAAGTACTGCCTTAAAGGTTAAAAAAAAAAAAAGCAGACTTTAACAATGGGAAAGCTGCTAAGGGGAAAAAACACTTCACATCATCGTGCAGCCATTTGTTACTGAGCTGAATTCTAGAGTTTTCCGTAAAAATAAATGGTGCCCAATTTTAGTGAGTCTCAAAACCGCAATCAGGCACACAGGAGCTCTTCTTTGTAACTGAAGGTCCCTGAGCATCACTGGGATGTGTTCCCCAGCGTGAACTCTGACTTCAAATACAGTGAATCAAGTATGGAGTGATTATTAATCAAATCCAATAGCTTGTAGCGCTTCCATTGATAGCTGATGGGAGGAAGAACCTGAGGAGGGAGACAGGAGAGAGCTCCCTGAGTGGTGTGTGAAGATGAGCTAGATAATCCCAGGCTAAGTCCTTCCGGGTCCGATGCTGCTCCAGACTGTCTGCACTCCAGGGCCCTGGGCCCTGGTCCTCTCGTTCCTCTGTCTGAACAAGGCTGTATATACATCCATGTGTTCCCAACTCCATGCACTAGGGAGGAAGGCAGCCTGAGCTTGGCTCTCTTCAACATGTTCCTTCACTACTGCTCTTCCCCTTTTGACCACACGGGGGAGGATTGGGATCATTTCAGGGGACATCCTGTTACACATAAGCAATAAAGAGATAAAAGATGTAAGTTATACAAAGTGTTACCTGGGTCACCTCAGAATTGATTTCAAAATAATTTTTTTCCACTTGCAGTTATTTTATTGATATTTTCCATTTTTGAGAATTCCCTGCATCAGTACTGTATTTACATCATTTCCACCTCTCTCTTGCCTCCCCCCCAACTCCTCCTCTGCCTGCTTCCACTCCCTCTCAAGTTCACGATTTCTTCCTCAATCTAGTAGATGCTGATAGGAAAACAGTGAGAGGGAGATCCAGGCTTCTCGGGATCAAACATTCCTGTATTGTCAAACCTTAGAAGCAAAAAACTTCCACCTCAGCAGGAAGCTCATTTTTAAGATGCACATTTTATCTTACACATATTATATAGGGAAGATTTGAAATACTCTTTTTTACTCAAACTAATTTATTGTGATAAATATTAGGGATGAAAAAAATCATGAATCTCCAAAATATGGTAGCTCTTGAATAAAAAATGTGCACATGAGGACTGTTCCGGGAATTTATTTGGGGGTCAGACGTTAAAGCAAAAGAGACCATTCATGGAAGCATCCAAAGCCGGCGGGTTGAGTGGTCCAGGGTAGAAGCAGGATTCTGCACAATTGAAAAGATGGATGTAGTCTACTTGGTAGGAGACATTTATAACTGATGACAAATTCCAGTAGAGATCCTGGCTGTCCAATCTGTATCAGAAGCAGCTGCATTCAACTTAGTTTTAAAACTCTAGACTGAGGCTCGAAATTCCTACAAATAGCAAATAGATAATCATGTATATATTACCTTGTGTTACCGTTGAACATTGAAAATTACATTATTAGATACAAAATAATCCTGATCTGCCAGAAGAGAGAATTTACGGGTGTACTTGGGTATAAAACGGCTGTTTTTCTTGTGGTGAAGTCTCATCTTCTGTCTGCCTGTTTTACTTTTGTTCTATATTAATTTTGAGGAGTGCTGGGTACTGAACCAGGACTTGTATGTTCACACCATACCAGTGTCCTACCGTCGAGCTTCATCTCCAGCCCCCCATAGTTTACTTAATGAGATTTAAGTATGGTTTCTTGGAATTATTTAAAATTATTATGTTTTATTTGCAAGAAGAAAATTTTCTGGTTCATTCTCATTCTCTCTCTCTTGCTCTCAACATAGCCTTGTTGTGTAGGCCTGGCTGCTATGAAATTCACGTGGAAACCAAGTTGTCCTCGAACTCAAGGCAATCCTCCTGCCTCTACTTCCCAGATTATAGCTATGTGCCCCTACTCTCCTCTGCTTCATTTGTATTTTAAGGATATTAAATCATGACAATATTTTCATGTTGTATTAACATTCTTAGATTATGATTTCTTCTGAATATTTAATGAATGGCTTCATGACATTTCATGCTTCTTGTTAGTAAACACAATTCCACCTTTTTTAGTTCAGCAAAGTTAGTTGCCTCTATGTAAATACTATAGCTAAACTATAGTGACAGAATTGGTGTATAAATTTGACATCTTAATGATATCACTCTCATGAGTGATACTTAGTAGCATGCATTTAAAAATGTTTTTGTTTTTTGTTTTTTTTTTTTTTTTTTTTTTTTTTTAGTTTATCGAGACAGGGTTTCTCTATGTATTTTTGGTGCCTGTCCTGGATCTCGCTCTATAGACCAGGCTGGCCTCGAACTCACAGAGATCTGCGTGGCTCTGCCTCCTGAGTTGCTGGGATTAAAGGCACGCACCACCACCGCCCAGTTTTAAAAATGTTTTTTCCTTTATTTTTATTTAATTTTTTTTATTCATTTTACATACCAACCACAGATTCCCCTCTCATCCCTCCCCCCACTCCCCCCCCCACCTACTCCCCTTGACTCACCCCTCATCCCCTCCTCCAAAAGGCTAAGTTCTCCCATGGGGGGACAGCTACACCTGGTACATTCAGTTGAGGCAGGACCAAGCTCCTCCTGCCTCAAGGCTGAGCAAGGTGTCCAACCATAGGTAATGGGATCCAGAAAGCCAGCACACACATCAGGGGTAGATCCTGATCACACTGCCAGGGGCCCCTCAAACAGACCCAGCTACGCAACTGTCTCCTGTATGCAGAGGGGTCTAGTCTGGTCCCATGCAGGTTCCACAGCTGTGTGTGTGGGTGTTTTACCTGCATGTACCACATGTGTGCAATGCCCACAGAGGCCAGAAGAGGGCGTCAGATCCTCCAGGACTGGAATTACAGATGGCTGTAAGCTATGATGTAGATTCTTAGAATGCAACCTGTGTCCTTTGGAAGAGCCAGAAGTTCTCTTGACTGCTAAGCCATCTCTCCGGCCCCTAATCGTGTGCTTTTGAGGTCGACTGAAACACTGTCCTTGCTTCTTTCAACTGCCTACAGCTAACACTAAATTTGCTTTCGTTACCTTGGGAGAAGGTTTCACGTTGGATGTGTTCCTCTTTTCCAGGTTGCGTTCTGGACACTCGGGTTTGTCCTGTCTCATCCCGACATCCACAAGACCATTTTAGAAGGCATAGCTTCTGTGTTTGGCACTGCAGGTACTAACTTCGTTTATGTCATTAAGGACACATTTAGTGTCTATGGTTTGGATCTTGAATGTCTGCCATGTTTTAAAGTCAGGGACCAGGGCTGGGGAGATGGCTCGGGTGGTAAAGCTCTGGCTGCACAAGCGTGAGGACCTGAGTTCAATCCCCAGCACCAACACTAAAAATAAAATAAAATTAAAGGCTGAGCATGGTGACATACACTTGCAATCCCAGTGTTTAACATGTAAAATTATGGGCTGTGATGAGAAAAATAGAAAATAACTTGATTTTCTTGTTGAAAAGTTTAATATCATTATATAAAATACCACACGAGTTAAAAGTTGTCCCTCCCTTGCCTCCTCCATAATGGCTGAAAGTATCGTTTCGAAAATATTTTATTTGGAGTTTTTGTCAAACTCCAGCAAACTCGGTTAGCATGGGTACCTAAACGATGCCCTGCCAGCCCAGAAGGTGAAGCCAGCAGTACTGGGCTTTATCATCGAGAACTAGTGATGCTCACCGTGGGATTCCAGAAACACACTGATGAGTACAGGGAAAGACCATTGCTCTCCACAGAGCTCGGGTCTACAGAGCTGACCAGAGGTGTGCAGAGCCCCGTGTCGTCCATGGGTGAAGAAAGGGAAGCAGGCTCCCTGACTCACATTCTGTCCCCATTTGCTGGCATCTTTCCTGACTTCAAGTTCTCCGGATTCCTGCTCTTTGGGAAATATAAGGCCAGGACATGAATGGTGGGGATGATGTGGAGAGCCCAAGTGGCCCAGAGGCCACAACTGGACTGTGACGTTAATCTGAGTGTCTGCGGGGCTTGAATTTGGAGCTCTTACACGTGGCTCCAGTGTAAGGAGACGAGACCCCCTTCTCCCCTTTTGTACCCTGGTTCGTTTTCAGAACCTGTTATTATTCTCTATTAACAGAAAAACATTCCTTCAAACAGTGTCTCATGGGAATAGTTGTGGTGTATCGATGATTTCCATTGTAAGTTGTTACTGTAGAAAAGAAAACAACTCATAAAAATATAAAACTTTAAAAAACCATATGTGTACAGAGGTAGCCCAGAGCTACCATGATGTGTAAGCTGTATTAACAGCTCAGAGATTCAGATGTGGGAGGACCCCATGAGGCCAGGAGTCTTGGAGACTGATATTGAGGAAGATATCCATGAATCTACACAAAGGAACGTGTCAGAGAAGGAATATTAGAGGATGCTGTATTATCAAGTATTCTCCAGAAAAATAGAACCAGTTAAAGATGGTTGGATAGATGCCCAGACCGTAGGTTATTAGGTATATAATTAGATAGATAATAAATGAATAGAGAGCTCTAGAAAGATTTAGTTTATTTTTAAAGCTTATTTGTACTTTTAAATTATATGGATGTTCATGTAACTGTATATGGGTATAAGCATGTGAGTGCAGGTTCCCACAGATGCGAGACGATGGAGACACATCCCCTGTAGCTGGAGTAACAGGCTCTTGAGAGCCGTCTGATGGGGGTGCTAGGAACTGAACATGGGTCCTTTGCAAGAGCAGCAGGGTACAGATCCTAATAGTACAGTCTTAGTCATGTGATCTCACAGACGTCTGTTCAGTCAGTTTGCTGGTTTCTCCAGAAGTGGATGTGGATTCCTTTATTCCGAGACGCTGTGTGCCTCCCGTTCTTGGCCAAGGGCCTCTGTGAGCATGTCAGGTGTTCTCAGCATCCAGCCAGCCACTGAGACCTGCCTTGGCTTCTGCCCTCTGCTTGTGCAGAGCCTCATGGCTGGCCACAGCAGGGGGAGGGTGTTTTCAGGGCTCTCTGGAGCGGGATACACAGTCCTGCACAATTGAACGGCCTTCGGCTTGCACAGGAATACAGACCTCGCCAAAGCCGCTACAGACGCCTGTTCCCTAGGCTTTGGGTTTCAGATGGTGTTTGTCCCATCTACTGTCTACTGCCTCAGGTGAACTGCAAGGTGAACAAATGACCTTTAAAGGGTTTTCTCCCAGCACCCCTCAGGAAAAGCTCCCTGCTTTTCTGCTTCAGAAGTTTGGAAGACAAACAATGAATTACATTCTACTTGGTGCATTATTTTGGGAGAAAAAAAACAATGATCAGTTTAATGCATTAGTATACTAAGACTATTATTAATGGCTGTCAAACATAAGAAAACAAAATTGAGTGTGGATAATTACCAGTGCCAGGGTGGAAATGTGTGTTGAGTAAGTGAACCAGGTGTAGTGCGAATCTTAAAAGGTCTTATTAATAAAAACAAACCTGGAGCCAGGTATTGGGGTGAATACTGGAAGATCAGAGAAGCAGAACAAGCCATAGCCACTGCACCTTGCCAATTCTTCAGCTGATCCTGCTTCCTCAGACTGTAAGCCTCTCAGTCCTCATCCAGAATGAATCTCAGCTGAACTGCTTCTTGAAAGTCTGAAAGCTTAACCAGGCCTAGTTCCCTGTCCTCACGCCTTAAATACCTTTCTGCTTCCTGCCATCACTTCCTGGGATTAAAGGCTCTTGTTACCACGCCTGGCTGTTTCCAGTGTGGCTTTGAACTCACAGAGATCCAGACGGATCTCTGCCTCTGGAATGCTAGGATTAAATATGATGGTATATGCCATCATTTTCTGGCCTCTGTATCTAGTGGCTGTTCTGTTCTCTGACCCCAGATAAGTTTATTAAAGTACACAATATTTGGGGGAACACAATATCACCACAACCAGGCTTGGCCTTATTCATAAGATGCATTGAGCAAGGACGTGAAGTGACAGGAAGGAATCTAGAGGAAGGGGCAGCAGATGTGGTCACGCTGCGTGCCCACGGGATCTGCAGTTCTGTTAACACGGTCCTGCCATTCATTCCCCAGCAGAACGCGTGAGAAATGGATTCACCAGAGAGGGAGGAACTCTAAGGTTCCATCTCTCCTGAGGCCCTTCCCTTCCCCTTGACAGGCATACCTGCCCTTCCTTGTTTGGTTTTCTTTTGTTTTAAACCACAAGAACTTGCCTAGTTCATGGCTTTAACTCTCTATTTTACAGCCATCTGCTCCCAAGTCATTTCTAGAAATTTCTAATACAAAGCGTATACTGTGGGTTGATCACAGCAGACACTCTGGGGAGATGCATCTTGTCTCATCTTTTTCCCTTTTCTGCCCCAGAAGCCATTCCTGCCCCTTCCTGTCCTGTGGTGCCATTCATTTTCCAGCAGCACCTGCTTCTTTCTCCAGATCCCTGGCTCTGCTTCCTGTCTCCTTGCGGTCAGCAGGGTTTCCCAGAGTGAGCAGCAGGAGCTCCCTCCAGCTGACTGAGGGTGGCTTTTTGTTTGGTTGTTTGTTTTGTTCGTAATGAATTAGTTAAAATGTTGTGGAATTTCCAGGAGGGCTGATGTGCTGTGCCTGGAGTGCAGAGCCAGCAACTGCTCCCAACCAGGCCACGGACTGTCTGGCAAGCCAGTATGCCCACTAATGCCAAGCACACAGTGACACTGGCAGAGGACACTGAGCTAAATGACATTGTGTCCCTGGGAACTTCAGCCTGTGAAATCTGCAGTTGGTGCCAGGAAAATCACAAGCTCAATCTCCGTATCTTCATATCACTAGCTTTTTCTTCCTCCTTTCCTTCTTTTTATTTTATATTTTTTTTATTCATGTGTAGGTATATGTCTATGTTTGTGTATTCACAGGTGTGTGTGTGTGTGTGTGTGTGTGTGTGTGTGTGTGTGTGTGTGTGTATATGTATTCACAGGTGTGTATATCTGTGAGAGTGTATGTATATTCACAGGTATGTGTGTGTGTATTCACAAGTGTGTATGTGTGTGAGAGTATATGTGTATTCACAGGTGAATACCTGTGAGAGAGTATGTATAGTCACAGGTGTGTGTGTGTGTGTGTGTGCGTGCGCGCACTGGCACATGCCTGAGAAGGCCAGAGGAGAGCATTGCATCTGTTAGAGCTGAAGTTACAGCTGAGGCTGCTCCAGACATGAGTTCTGAGTTGAGCAACACATGCTCTTCAAGCTGAGTCATCTCTCTAGCCCTCTTATCACTAACTCTTAATTCAAGATATGAGACTGCTTGTGCTGACCCGAAGCCTTTCCTCAGGGTCCTGTCTGAGCTTCAGGGGAGACGAGACAAGCAAGAATCCTGAGGTTTCTCTTCTGGGGTACTCAGGCAAGCTTCTGCTGAAACACAGGCAATGGTGATGATGATGAGTGTAAATTACTTACATATGGTTTGCACATATAGAAGTGTAAGAAATGTGCTTATATCGTATTTTTATGAAAAAAAATCTGTGTGTGAATGTAGTGTGTATGTGACATATCCGTGAGTGTGTGTATGTGTGTGTGTATGTGTGTGTGTATGTGTGTGCATGCACGTGTGGGGGGCATTCTGCATCTATCTCCACTTACTCACTGAGGCCGAGTTCTCTCCCTGAACTTGAGGCTTGTGTCTTTTCAACTAGGCTGGAGGCCTGCAATTCTCCAGGATCCTTCTGTCTCCACCCTCCTTGGTGTCGCAGTAACAGGCTTTCAGGGGACTCCTAGCTCACTATGTGGGTTCTGGAATCCAAACTCCAACCCTTGTGCCTACACAGCAAGCTCTCTTAGCTCGCCCAAGCCGTCTCTCCAGCCCACAACTGACAATTTCAAATAATACAATGGCTACCTGAAGTCACTGTGTGCTAGCCAAAAACATGTTCATTCTCTTTATTGTTATTTTTTTAATTAAAAGAATCTACAAACTGATAGTTCAATTAGACCTTGATTCTGTTTTCATGAAGAGAAATTTCCCCAAATATATCTTCTCCTATGAAATTTCATCTATCCAAAATGGTGAGTATTGCTGTGCCCACAGAACTGAAGAGCAAATTAAATTACTTACCTCTTTGCTTTCAATTAAACTGCACATTAATTATTAAATTACATATTAGTTATTACCTATTTTTTTAAACATATTATTCAGACGAGGTTTTCTGTTGTCTCAGGCTAACCTTGAACTCACAGATAAGTCCA